CAGACATCAGTGAGGGTCCCGGGGGGGATCCGGGGGGGGGCACAGCAGGGCTGTCACAGCAAACCCGATGGCAGCCCCGATGGCTGACACGGCAACCTTCACAGCTGAGGGGACTCCTGCTGCCCCTGAGGAAGAGGAGGAGAAATCAGCCCGAGTCCCGCCCCCCGCCCAGACCCAACCCCAGCCCCAGCATGGGGCCCCCACTGCGCCCCATTAGCCTGGGGGACCCCCCCGAGGAGGAGCAGCCCCCCCCCCAGACCTCACCTCCCTGCTGCCAGGCCAGCACAACCAGCGGGGCCACCCCAGGCACCCCAGAGCAGGTGGGATCCCGGGGGGGGGTCCCCAGTCCCACCGCCACCCCAGGTTCTCGCCATGCTGCCGGTACCGCCCGGGGAGGCCAAAACACGGGGCCCACGGTGGTGACCCCCACGGGGACCCCACTGCGAGCACTCACCGAGCGACTGCGCTATGGCCACCAGGCTCTCGGCGGCCACCCCCCCGCCGTTGGCCTTGGCAGCTAGAGACATCATTCTGGCGGCCACGGATCCAACCATAATTCCCGCTTTGGTGAAGCCCAGAGCGTACAGGGCTGCTGGCACCACAACCGTAGAGAGTCCTGCATTGGAGAGCAGCAGCGGTGACACTCCTGCGGGCACGCGCGTGTCCCCAGGCTGCAAAACCCTCAGCCCTGGGTCGCTCCTCAGCCACGCGTGTCCTCCTGCCCCGAAATGGGGGGGTGCATGGAGGCAGAGCTCCAGCTCGCCCAGGACGGCTGGGAGCAGAGCGACTGGTGCAGGTTCCCAGGGCCAAACCTCCCTAGCTGGGGTATCGATGGGGTCCTCCACTCGGGCTTCTTGGGACAGGCCAAGATACAGCTTTTTGGGGAGGGGGCGGCACCCCCCGAGAGGGGTCTGTGTGTGCAAAGCAGCAGTATGAAGCTCTGGGAAAGTGATTTATTTCCACATGGTGTCAGCCATCCCTGTGCCCACCAGTGCCTTACCGATCCCTACGGTCAGCCCGACGGCAGAGCCAACAAAATCTGTAACAAAGGAGAGATCGAGGGCGGTCAGGTGGCAGGGCTGAAAGCGAAGGCGAGCTCCTGCTCCTCCATCCCCTGCCTGCACCCCCAGGCCCCTTCCTGCCCACTGGAGCAGCATGTGCCCCTTGCCAGGAGCATCTCAGCGTCTCACACCACCAGGAGAGTGGCTGCACCCTCTCCAAAATGCCAGGGAAACAAGTCCTTGCCAGCACAGCCCTGATGCCCGTGGCCAGCCCTGGCCCCGTCCCACGAGAGCCCTGAGCCCCCCTGTGCCCTTCGCTCACAAGCAGAGGGAGGTTTGCTGCGCACCCAGGGGCCAGTGCCCCGTGTCCTCCACGCTGTCCCGCTGCGGGACCCGTGCCCCCGACCCCATGAGCTTACCCATGGTGGGCTGGCCTGGGGGGCAGCTGCCGGAGCAAGAGGTGTGCCGGGTCTGGTCTGAGCCTGGTCCTTCAGGGAGCAAGAACAAAAGTTTCTTCTTAGGGTGGTGCGGGTGGTGAGCGGGGCCGTTGGGGTCTTGTTCTCCTGCCCGGGTGTCCCCAGCCACCCCCCCCCTCCCACCCCATCCTGCCCCCAAGAGCCCCCAGCCACCCCACAACACCAGAGACCCACCAGACCCCGTGTTTCTTTCCCAGCCCAGGGCTCCCTAGCCACTCTGCCAGCCCAGCGGGTTGAGCAGCCCCCCCGCTTTTGTCATCTCTCCCTTGGAAAAGGGGTGCTGTCCCCAAACCCCCATCGTGGGATCCCGGCACCCCAGACCCCCCACTGCGGGACCCCGGCACCTTGCACTACCAACCTGTCCGTCTGCCAGACTGACGAAGAGGTCAGTGCTGCCTGCCACTGTTAGCAGGGGCCCCCGGGTGACGTCAGGACAGCAAATTTCCAAGAAACGGCTCTGCTGAGTTTCGGTTTCTTGAATTTTTGATCCATCTTGGTGTTTACTCGGTGTGCCTGGTTCTGCTGGAGCAGGAGGCGGCCGGGCAGCGGGGCTGTGGCTCCCCAGTCCCTGGGGGTCAGACCCTGGGGCTGTCCCCCGGGGGGAGCCCTCTCTCCCCTCGACCCCCTCACGGGAATGTGGGAACGGGAGGTGACGGGGCTGCGGTTTGGGGGATGTGCTGGGCGGGGTGAGGCTTCTCACGCCTGTGCCGTGGTGGCTGGGGCTTTATGGGGCATTTCCCGGCCAGGGTTGGGACCGGTTTAGCTCTGTGGTTTTTGACGAGGACTACGGGCAGCATGGGCAGTCTGGGCAGCGCAATTTCCACTGGCCGGCAGCGGAGGTGCAACCCCTCTGGCTGCCTCCCCTCCACCGGGCAACTTCAAAAACCAGCCAAAAATCCCATTCTGCAAACCTCCTTTTCCCCCGCTCCCTGCACCCACTCCTCACCCCGAGCCCCCTCAGGGCAGGACACATCCAGCCCACCCGGCGGCAGCCCCTCCAGGCTGGGGCGGCGAGGGTGCAGCGAGTGCCGTAGCGCATGCGCCGCTGCAGCTGGTTGAAGGGGACCAAATCCAGTTGCAAGTTGATCTGGTTCCTTTTTACCAGCCCCAGGGACGCACTGTTTCTCCAGAGGCGCCGCCTGGGCCAGTGCTGGTGGGTCCCGGCGTGGGGGTCCCAGCCCAAAAATACATACTTCTTAACATTCCATAACGCCGGCCGACTCCATATGGGCATATGAAGAAGTATGTAGGGTTGGGAGGGAGAGGCGGGTGACGAGGGGGCTACATTCCCACGGGGTGGGAACCTGGAAGGAGTCGGTGGCCGCGGTGAAGCCCGAGGCTGGGCAGGGGCTGTGGGGGGCACCTCCTGACCACCCCCGGATCTGGCCTCTGCCTGCACCCGGTCCCAGGTGCATCCCGGCGGTGGCACTGCCCGTACGGTCCTGTAGCGCCCGTGGCCATGCCAGAACAAGGTTCCTGCGTGTTTGGAGAGCTAGACAGTGCCGCAGCCAACGCGCGTGCCTGCGACCCATAGTCTCTGCACCGGCCGCAGGGTGCTTGGGCTGGTAACGCACCCGCCGCCCGGTGTTTTGGCCGGTGGGTGCCCTTCGCGGGCGGTGGGACACCTCAGGATGTGTCCGAGGCTCGGCAGTTTGGACCGTGGGGGGTTGCACCTCCAAGGAGAGGGGCCATGGCCAAGTGCCAAGTCCTGTGAGCCCGCACGAGCCGGCACGGATGGCGGAGGTGCGTGCCTGCGCCTGGAGCCAGCGGCTCCTCCGTTGGCCCTGGCTCTTGGCAGAGGTCCCCAGTGTTGCTGCTGCTGCGCTGGTTTAGGATGCACCAGCTGCACCCCCACACACCCCCCACGCTGCCCCAAAACCCTGCAGCACCCCAGCACCCCCCCCGGGATCCCCCTGCGCCCCACACTGCCCTGTCCCCCTCCCTTGCTGCAGCCCGTGTGCCAGAGCAGCGGTTGCAGCTTGGTGCAGCTGTGGCCAACACTGGGGGGGGGACACCCACGTTCCACACCCCCACTCGTCCTGCCTGGCTCGTTTGCAAGGCTGGGAGAAGGACCTGGGGGTCCGGGCCCCCCCCATGCCACAAATCTGGGCAGGGGAGGCCAGAGATGCCTTTGCCCAGGAGAGGAGGGGGGGCGTTCAGCTGACATCTCAGGGGCTTGAGACCACAACAGGGTGGCAGGGGGGACTCCCCAGCCCTGGCACAGCACGGCCAGGGCAGGGCGACTGAGGGGGCGAGTGTCACCGCAGCCCATCCGTGCCTTGACCCCGGTGACCTTCCTACCCCTAAATTCGCGGCTGGAGCGGTGCAATGGCAGGTGCAGGGAGCCCTCACGGGGGGTCCCAGTCCTGTCCCCCTCCCAGAATGAGGGGGCAAGGGGTGCACGGGGGGCCCGGCCGTGGGCAGGAGGGACGTGGCGCTGGCCAGGCCCTGCGCGGCCGTGACTCAGCGCCAGGAGCTGTGGCCACACGCGCTGCAGCTCTCTGCAAGGAGCCGGTGGGTGCCAAGTACACGCTCACCGCACCGGCCCCGCTCGTGGCACCCCCAGGCAGCAGAGACGCTGCTTGGTGCCCCCCCCCAAGCCACCAGCCATTGCTGCGGGGTGCAACGCTGCTGCCAGCATGGCCGCAGTCCCCCCCAGGATGCTCCACCAGCACCCCAGGGCCTCCCGCATGGCCGGTCCCCAAGGACCCGGCGCTGGGGACCCCAGAGACACAGCTCCCAGGATCCAAGTCCCCAGCCCAGCAGCAGCGGTAGGGCACAGCATGTCCGGCTGGACCAGCACCCCCGTTCCCCCCCAAAAAGCAGACTGAGCGGGTGTCCCGAGGCCAGAGGTTGCAGAGATGCACCCACTTAACCCTTCGGGCTCTGCCGGCCCTGCAGCACAGTGGGTTGCCGACACACAGTTTTGCTGTAGGGGTGCAGGGGACCCCAGGGACCCGCGGGGCTGTCGGGGCACAGTGGGAGCTGAAAGCCGGTGGCTGTGCCCACCCTGAACCCCCAGAGCCAGGGGAGAGGGTCGGGGCTCTCATATCGCAGCCCAGTTCAGCTCCAGCCGCCTCAGCTGACCTTGGGCAGCCTCCCAGGACTGCAGTACTAGGGGTAGCCCAGCCTGGGGGGGGGCCCACACAGCCCCATCCCACAGCACGGTCCCCGCAGCCCTCGGCCGGGCTCTCCCAGTGACCTTGGAGGGCCAAGCGCCGCAGGATGCTCGCCGCAGCCGGGGTGCCTCATCTCCCCCAGCCCTAGCCCTGGCCACCCCTGCTCGCTCCCACCACCCCACCTTACCCCTGCCCTGCCCCATGGCCTGTCTCTGCGCCCAGATGTTCCAGGTCATCAGCGCAAAGCCCCTCTGCATCCCTGAGGGTGCCCCCACTGCCGCAGGCAGCCCCCCAGCCCTCCCCAGCCCCAGCACTGCCCTTGACGGCTGCGGACGCATTGCCCGAGCCAAAGCCTTCCCAGGAGCTCTACCCCGGGGCAGCCCCTCTTTTTTGGCTCCTCTGTACCCCAAGACCGGCCGGGACCCCCCAAACTGGGCAGCCCCCGGGTCCACCGCTTGCCCTGAGAGCAGCTCCCTGCTCCAGGCAGGGTGGCTTGTGGGCACCGGGGGCAAACACAGCCTTGCAGGGGGGAGGTGGGGGGGCTGGGGGGGGGGGGCTGGCTGTGGTGGCACCCACACACTTGCACAGCACCCAACAGCCCCAGCCTGTCTATAAAAGGAAGCGTCTTTTTTCCCTGCTCCCCCCCAGCACTGCGTGCCCGGCCGTGCTCTGCAGTCGCTGCCTCGCAGGGGCCTTTCCAAGTTTTACTATTCAGGGCTGCCCCCCCCAACAGGCTCCCCCCGGCTCATCCATCCCTGGCAAACCCGCTGCAGCAGCCACTCCAGCCACTGAGCGGCTTAAAAAAATACCAAGAGGCCCAGTGAGGAGGAGGGAGGTGGGTGCAAGGAGAGCGCTGGCAGAGGGTGCCTGGGGGAGCACCCCGGCCCCCCGTCCTGCCGCCCCTTCGCCTGTGGGCATTGCCCATTTCGGGGCTGCGGGCACGTGGCCCAAGGAGCCCTGGTGCACCCAGCCGCGGTGGTCAGTGCTTCCCCCCACGCGTGTCCAAAATACGATCCCGAGATGCCCAGGAGTTGGGCTTCCCTTCCCGCCCCATCCCACCGGTGTGGGGCATCCCCTCTTTGCGTGGCCGAGGACACCCCGATTCCCTGGGGAGGGGGTGACCAGCCCCGTTGCGGGGGGTCACCTGCAGGCAGATGGGCCAGGCTCTGCCCCGCTGCGCTGCCCGTGGACCCAAGCACCCACCGCCCACCACCCCACTGCAACTGGGACCTGCTGGGGGTACCCCATTGCCCCCCCCCGCAACCCCACAGAGAGTTTGCTGCTGCCCCCGCTCCTCCACCGGGGCTGCCCCAAAGCGGTGGGGGGCTGCGGTGACCCCCAGCCCTGGGTCTGCCCCCTCCCTGCCCACGCCGAGCCGCTGCCAGGAGCCAAACGTGGGGGCTGCGAGAGCGGCAGCAGCATCCCCAGCCCGAGCGGGGGCTCAGCACCAGCCGGGCTGGCTGAAGGTTAAACGCCGGCAGCGGGGAAAGCCCCGCTGCCTCCCGCAGACCCCGAACCTCTCGTCCCGCATGGCCACTTACGGTCTTGGAGGTGACACCGGCCGGGTGCGAGCTTGGTTGGCGGCAGCGGGCTGCGGTGACAACCGGCACGAGCACGCCGCTTCCCCGCTCGCCTTGACTTTGCCACAGGACTCCTCCGGCTCGTCCGCAGGAGCTTGCAGCATCCTCCAGTTCAGCGGGAGAAGTTCCTCGCCAGGGAGGGAGGGAGGGAGGGATTTAAGGCAGACTCTGACTGGGATGCGGACGTCTCCGGGCACAGGTGAAGACCCTCCGCTCGCTGGGGACCCCGCGGCCCCCTTCCTCGTACATCCCATCCCGGGCTCGGTGTCCCGGCACACGGCTCGCGGTGTGCCCGGCTCCAGGGATGCTGCGTGGGTGATCTCTGCTGAAGGAACCCTCTCCCTCCTGGATGAAAGCTGCCACCGGCACGCAGCCAGCCGGCCACCTCTGCCCTACGCCGCCTGCCCCGCATCCCACGGGTGCCCGGTGGGGGTCCCAGAGCAATGCCGTGGGGAGAGCCGACACGCTTTGCTGGGCCCAGCAGCAGTCCGGGGGGCAGCTCGGAGGGCGAAGCGGAGTCTGTGGGGCGACCGGGAGGGTGAAACCTGTCGCCGCTGCAGCCACAGGGGCTCCCCTGGGCCGGGGGGGGAACCCCACGGGGATGGGGATCCCCAGGCTGTCCCAGGCCACCCGGCTCTGGGTGTCCCCAACACCCACGGAGCGGCTGTTGTAGCATCCAGAGCAGCAAAGCCCAGGGGTACGGGGCTGCTCTGCCCACCCTGGGACCCCGCCGCCCCCGGGCTCCTGCCCGTCCTACCTCTGCCTGCGGAGAGCTGGCGGGGCGAGGGGGACCCCCTGCTCGGGGCTGTGGCGGGGGCAGGATGCCGGGAGACACCTTGTTGTGGTTCCCAAAGGGAAAAGCCAGAAAAAGCAGCGTGGCGTCCCTCCCGCGGCGG